GCAATCACATTTACAACAATTGCAGGATCTTGTGGTCACATGACTGCGATTTGCAACCTTCCCAACTCGCTTTGACAAGCAAAGTCAATTGGGGAAACTGCATTTGCTTAACAACAACTGTGTGATTCACTTCAGTGACCATATGATTCACTTAACAGCTATGGTGATTTGCTTAACAACTATTATAAAAATGGCTGGAAATCTGGTTGTCATGTGATGATTTCCTTAATGACCATATTGCTTTGCAACCAAAATTCCAGTCCCAACTGTCATAAGTCAAGGGCTACCTGTGGAAGATTAGTAGATCATACAATATTTCTTTTTACCATGCAAACAGTAAATTCATTGATTTGATTAAGTTTCTAGTTTGATCTTCATTTTTCTTCTAGATCTGCAATATAAAATATTCACATCTGGGGGAAAATGTTTTACAGAGCTATTCACAGAGTGCTGACATTGATATAAAAATTGTTAGTTTGACAGAATTTAAACTAGCATAAAGAGAGTAATTACTCCTTTAATATGTAACAAAATCAAAATTTCTGGCTGAAGAGTTGCACACAGTTTCTGTGTCTTGGATTATTTCCGGTGCAGCCTGATACGATGCCTCCCGTTATTACTGCATATAAAATTATGCCACTAATTGTTTAGAAATCTAGCACCCTATTTCTAAATGTCCTTAACATGCTCAAAGTACATAAACTTTTTCCAGAAATTGTAGTATCTTGGTGAACAATCACAGTGAACTAGATTTTAAATCAAATATTGCTAAAGATTTTTAAACACTCTGAATTCATAACTGATCTTAGAAGAACCAAGCAAGTCTTCCCCAAGAAAGGGATTTATTTTATCTTCCTATAATGACTTTCCACAGGTGCTTTTCTCCCAGCTAGGTTCAATCTCAACTGGGTGTCAACATAGGAAGTGGAGCCTCCAAGGAAATATATTACAGGCAGTATACAAGATAAGTTGATTTTGTTTTGTTTTTTGAACAGAATGCTTATTTTGTTCTTAAATTAAAACAGAATACATAAATGCTTTAAATTAAGAGACACTGTTGTAGTCGTGTTTGGATAGTAAAAACAAGTTTTACACAAACTTTATCATCCTTAAATATCATTTTTACATCAAGATAACCATTTAAAAACAATAGCCCAATTTGAGTTCTAGTTATAATGGGGGTTTTGAACTACCTTCTGTTCTAAGCTTTCCAATAAATTTATGTTCAATTAGAGATACAGGTAATGCTCGACTTACAATAGTTCATTTAGTGACCGTTCGAAGTTACAATAGCATGGAAAAAAGGAACTTATGACCATGTTTCACACTTTCGACCGTTGTAGTATCCCCATGATCATGTGATTTACATTCAGATGCTTGACAACTCACATTTATGATGGTTGCAGTGTCCCGGGGTTATGTAATCCCCTTTTGCAATCTTCTGGCAAGCAAAGTTAATGGGGAAGCCAGATTCACTTAACAACCGGGTTACTAATTTAACTACTGCAGTGATTCACTTAACAAATGTGGAAAGGAAAGTCATAAAATGGGGCAAAACTCACTTAACAAATTTCTTACTTAATATAAATTTGGGCTCAATTGTGGTCGTAAGCTGAGGACTACCTGTACCTTCACATTCTAGTAGGTAAAGCAATGTTTTAATCTGAACCAATTTAAAAGCATACGAACATATGTTGTGGTAGGTAGAATGTTTTTATCACAAAGAAAATTATATGCACTAAGTTCACAACATTGCATTATACGTAACCAAAGTAAGTATAAAATTAGCTCTTCCAACAATACTATTAAGCAGCTAAAGATTTAAGGAGAAAGAAGCAGGAAAAATGCAGCTCATATGTAGAAAGTCTTCAGGGATTCTTAAACAGTTTCCCTCTTTGTAATGCATGCTTAACAGTTTCTTTTAAATTGGATGTTGCCACGAGTTGTGTATTTATTTTGTGCATCTTGGGACATTGTCTTAAGTTGGAAAAGATCAAGGATGTCTAGCACTTTAATGTAGTATCGCTGATTAACTGGAAATCATTTGGATGTCAAGTTTAGTATTTTTACGAATTGAATGGTCTTTCTTTTATAATATATTTAAAATAAATTTTTATTGTGTCCTTTTTCTGAAAACTTGTACATCTATTCTGTTTTGTAACAGCCAAGGCATTTGTAAAGAGAGGAGAGACTGATTACATGAAATAATACAAGTAATCCTCGCTTAACAACCACTCATTCAGCGACTGAATTTACAATAGTGGTAGTTATGACCTTGCAACTCTCCGGTGGTCATGTGATCACAATCCAAGTGCTTGGCAAGTGGCCTGAACGTATTATTGTTGCAGCATCCCTAAGTCACATGATTGTAATTTCCAACTTCTCTGCCACTTCCTGCAAACAAAGTCAACGGGGAAGCCATGACCAGCAGTACAATTGACTGATGTCATTGTTCTGGAGCTTGTACACTTTATATAAAGCAGACATGTCAAACTTGCGACGTCATGTGACATCACGAAACATATCGGGACGGTTTTGCCATTGCCGACAATGAGTGGGCACAGCTTCCGGATGACGCGTCTGGCCCGCAGGCCGTCAGTTTGACACCCCTGATATAAAGGGAAAAAAGACAACCTTTACATGCTGGAAGCCGGCAACAGTTGCCAGCATGTAGAATAGAATAGAGCTGGAAGGTATCTTGGAGGTCTTCTAGTCCAGCCCCTTGCTCAATCAGGAGAACTTATACCATTTCAGACAAGTGACTGTCTAGTCCAGACATGTTAAACTCGCGATGTCTTGGAGCTTTTTCCCCATTGCCGGCAATGGGGAGGACACGGTCTCATCATGACGCGTCCAGCCCACGTGCCGGCAGTTTGACACCCCTGGTCTAGTCTCTTCTTAAAAATCTCCAGTGATGGAGTACCCACGATTTCTGAAGGCAAGATGTTCCACTGGTTAATTGTCCTCACTGTTAGGAAGTTTCTCCTTAATTCCAGGTTGCTTCTCTCTTTGGTCAGTTACCAAACATTGTTTCTTGTCCTGCCCTCTGGTGCTTTGGATAATAGTTTGACAGCCTCTTCTTGTGGTAGCCTCTCAAATACTGGAATACTGCTATCATGTCACCCCTGTTTCTTCTTTTCTTTAGACTAGCCAAACCCAAGTCCTGCAGCCATTCTTCGTATGTTTTAGTCTCCAAGCCTTTGATCATCTTAGTTGTTCTCTAAATTTTTTCCAAACTCTCAACATCTTTTTTGTCATATGTTGACCAAAATTGGTTGCAGTATTCCAGGTGTGGTCTTCCTAGGGTTTTATAAAGCGGTACTAATATTTGCGTGATCTTGATTCTATGCCTCTGTTTATACAACCCAGATTGTATTAGCTTTTTTGGCTGCTGCTGCACACTGCTGGCTCATAGTCAAGTGATCGTTCATTAAGACTCCAAGGTCCCTCTCACAGTTACTGTTTTTGAGCCAGATCTCGCCTAATCTGTACTTATACCTTTGATTTTTCCTGCCTAAATGTAAAACTTTGCTTTTCTCCACATTAAAATTCATTTTGTTGGATAGGGCCCATTGTTCAAGTTTGTCAAGATCTTTTTGGATCCTGAGCTTTGTCTTCTGAGGTGTTGGCTATTCCTGCCAGTTTAGTGTCATCTGCAAATATGATGAGTTCCACTGTGTACCAAGAAGACATCTATCTTTACAGAAGAACAAAACCCACTCTGTCCCCACTACTTTTAATTCTGCCAGATGGTTGCTCAATAATTGCTGGATTCCTGCAATGTTGAGGTGGATCACTGATAAGAAGATGAGGCAGTTGGGGGGGACTTTATTATCCCAGCTATCTCACAGAAGATAACTAGTTTCTCATTGCTGTTTGCATCAGAGAACCAATGAATCATTTTGTGGAAAATAAAAGTCCTAATAAACACTTTATATGCATTCACTTCCCTCTCTCTACAGAGAAAAATAAAGGGGAGATAATATTAACCAGAAGGTTAATGTTCTTTTTCTTGGTTGTGTTGCTTTAATTTTTGAAGCAATAACTCTTAAAAATGCATTTTCTTCCTCTCAAAAGTCCAAGCTTTTTAAAATTATAGTAACAGTATAAAGAAAAGTATTTAATATCTAGTACTGGTATAAGTTTAACATTTGTATTAAGATCACTTTTTGCTGTAATGTAAATTTGTTGCGCTTGGGCTATTTGAAGCCTTTCTTTTTATCATTAAAAATCATTTATCTTAAACAGAATTAGGCCCTTACATATCCCTAACGAAGATATTATTAAAACAAAGATGGAAAAGAAGAAATGTTTTAATTTTCAAGTTTCTTTTTCTTCCATTCAATCATGTCTGATTCTTAGACTGTCTGGACAAATTCTTGTGGTTTTCCTGACAAGGTTTCAGAAGTGGTCTGCCATTGCCTGCTTCCTGAGAGAAATTGACTGGCCCAAGGTCACTCAGTTGGCTTCATGCCCGAGGCTAGAACTAGAACTTACAGTCTCCTGGGTTTCTAGCTTGATGCCTTATCCCTAAACTGAATTGGCTCTCCATGTGGGGCAGGGCTTTTTTTGTATAATTATCTAAATTATTAATCTAATAATTTTTTTTCATACAACAGGATAGCTATTTTTGGTGAAAATGTCTGGATACTGTTAAGATGACAGCATTTTTTAAAATGAGCTATTCGGGCTGTTTTATTTCAAATGTCAAATTATTCTTATAAGTGGTTAATTTAGACATATTCCTTATGGATGCACGAAAAATAATTATGTTGGCTTGTGGTTTTATGTGCACATCATAAACTGTAATGTAGCACTTCCAAGCTTATTATGGCAATAATGGATCCTTTGGTAGTAATCCAGCAATTATCTTATGTAATATAGGGGCTTCTAACATTTATTCCTATCAAGAAATACAAGAAGGATGAAAAGATGCTTTGAATTAGGCATAGGTGCACATGCTGTAACTGTCTCCTTAGGAAATAGTGTCATGATGGGGGATGGGGGAATTCCTTATTGTGCCACATTCACCCTGGAAAATACATGACAAGATCACACTGATATGTCAAGATATTTTGAGACAGACACAAACAGGCTTTCTGGTGCTCCACATCCCTGCATATGCATATCGTGCACAAGCATTACACATCCCTGGTTGGGAAGGACTGACAAAAATCACTCATCTCTATCTCAATAATGCAAGTACAAATAATGTAAGCTGTTTGCCTGGTCTACGTTTATAAGGTCAGGACAATAATGTGGGAAAGGAGCATATATGGGGCCAAGAAAGATATTGACATGGATGATCTAGCTCTTTTGCTTTGTTGCATTTGACAAGGTAAAAAGCACACCTGAACCTATTCAAAAATTCCAAATTCACCAAATATCTGGTAAAGCTGTAGGCTTTTGAACAGCTGTATGCAGCTTTCTTTGCTAGAAGGAAAAGGCTAGAAAGATGGCAGAAGATAGTGCTCAGATACTCAGAGAGGAGATACCCACCAGTTTGAAGTGGCTAAGAAATATCAAACTGTTTCATCCAATTTTACACATTTGAACAGCAAAAAGTGATTGAAGGCTGCTTCATACATGTGATGAAAGATGAAGGCAACATCATGTGGAAGCCAGAGGTGGGCAAGACACGTGACAGGATTATGGGTAAAACACAGAGGGCTTTTCCAGATGAACAGCTGCTAGCTTTATTTAAAGCATGGGTATCCAATTTTTAGGCTTGCCTGGGTCGCCTTGAACAAGAACTGTCTTGGACCACATATAAAATATATAATATAGTTATGTATATAAATCATATAATAACGTATGTGTTATATATAGGTATATTAATATATGTGATAAAAAGTAAGAGCCAGTTTGATTAGTGGTTAAGGTACCAGGCTAGAAATGACAGACCATGAATTTAACTCCTGCCTTAGCCATGAAAGCCAGCTGGGTGACTTTGGGTCGGTCACACTCTCTCGGCCCCTTACCTCACAGGATTGCTGTTGTGGAGAAATAAAAGGAAGGTGTGTTGGATATGTTCATCGCCTTGAGTTATTTGTAAAAATAATGAAATCAGGTACAAATAATAATGTTATAATATTGAGGCCTCGTTTGCAGCTGTCCAGGGCTGTATGCAGTCCAGGGCCACTGGTTGGACACTCCTGGCTAAAGGAAACAATGTTGCATAGTTTTCTTCCTTACTGGATCTTTTTCAGCAAAAAGAAACATGAAATACATCTGAAGGTCATGAAGAGAAAAATGGTCTAGATCAGTGGTTCTCAACCTTTTTAATGCCGCGACCCCAACCGGTCGTAAGTCGAGGACTAAACCGGTCGTAAGTCGAGGACTAAACCGGTCGTACGTCGAGGACTACCCGACCGGTCGTAAGTCGAGGACTTTCCCTGCCCGGGAGCGCCGCGCATGCGTGGCTCCGCCCCCTGCGCCGGCCGAGGCATAGCTGGCAAGCGGCAGAGACAGAGCAGGCCGACCACCAGCTGGCCCAGCCCAAGGGAGGTAAGGCACCCGCCAGAAAAGGGGAAAAAAATGGCGGACAAAAAAAATGGCGGACAGCCTTGCTTGGCGACCCCCATGAAATGGTCGATCGACCCCAAATGGGGTCCCGACCCACAGGTTGAGAACCACTGGTCTAGATCTATAGAATTCTGTAAAGTCTCAAGAACTAAAACAAGTTACTTTTGGCTCCAGGTTTCTTCTGGCTATTCAAAAAGTAAAGCAATGTGCATTCATTTATTTGCATACCTTCAAGAGGGGATGATATTAGTACTCTGATGCTCTAATTGTTTATTTATAGGTAATGTGTTCTATGAAGAGTGGCTTTGGGACCAATTGGGCAATTGTGCATAGCTCAGCGTGAGACAGCCAGACTAAATGCATTGCTGACAAAAACATATTCACCAAAATTGCCCAAGCATCACTGCATTCAGTTGTGGAGTAAATTCCAATAATCAGCTATTCAACCTCAGATCAGCAAAATTAACCCTTTATATCAGGGGTAGTCAACCTTGGCTCTTTTATGACTCGTGGACTTCAACTCCCAGAATTCCTGAGCCAGCTGTGCTGGCTCAGGAATTCTGGGAGTTGAAGTCCACGAGTCATAAAAGAGCCAAGGTTGACTACCCCTGCTTTATATGGTTCCACAGTCATGAGTTCTAGACCCATCTTCAATAGACTAACCCAGCTTGTGCAATGGGGACCCACACGCCTACACCTCGAAAAGTGCTCGGGCGAAAAATTGTAAGGTAAAACTTCCAGAGATCCACCAGCTTTCCAGTTTGTTTCTCACAAGAATTCGTATCATTGGATCTTAGCCTCAAAAATCAGTAAGAGCTGCGACCTGGACGTCCGCTGTTTTCTGCTCTAGTGTCTTTACGGGGTACAGGAAGCTCCCAGCCTTTATTTTTCCCTGGTTCTCTGGGGCGTCCATGTCGCCGCGCACCTTCCCTCTACCTACCCTACTGGTTTCCCGGTTTGTTTTTCTCTTTCCTCCCCGGGATCTCACGGCCGCCCCTTTACGGGGAGCGCTGCGCTCTGATCATCCGGAGGGGACGCTCTATTAGTTGGCAGCAACCAGACACGCAGGCGGCCCGAGCAGGACCCAAAGCGCTCCTGGTCCAAAGTCCACCGCCCGAGCGCCCGCAAGGCAGCTCCGCCTTTAAGGAGGACGAGAGCCGTTGGTTTTTCGAACTCTCCCAGCCGGACCCGCCCGCCCTCTTGCGAACGGCCTCTTGTGCGCGTGTCCCTGCAGAAGGCTTTGGCTTCACCCAGGGCAGCTTCAGAGCCCCCCACCCGCCTCCCGCGAACTCCCGCTCCGCACCCCCAGCCCGTTCTGAGCACGGACTTCAAACGCTCTCCGGCTACCTCCCTTCGCGCAGGAAGTAGCCTATCGGCACGAGCAGCTGCCTCGGCCAATAGCTTGTCTGAGCGGGAGCCCAAGCCCCGCCTCTCGAGCTGCACTAACCACTGGCTGCCCGGGGACGGGACTTCCGCTCGGAGGCGAAGAGGCGGAGCGGGCAGGTTTTGTGTTTGAGGGAGTGGGAAAGGGACGAGAGCGAGGCGGGCGAGGGAGCGAGCGAGCGGGGTGCGGGCGTTGGGCTGCCGTGGCCTGGTGGCCTCTCTGGCGGCGGAGCGACGGGTCGCGTCCGCCTAACGAGCTCCGCGGAAGGGGCCGGCAGCTGGGCACAGCCACACGTACCGGGCTGCCGGCTCCGGGGGCTGTGACCGAGGCAGCCGAAGGGACGAGATCCTCGGCCGGCTGCCGGGGGGTCGGGAGGCCGTGAGGAGGCGAGAAGAGGGACCCTTCTTGCTTGCGCCGCCTCTCAGAGGGGCTGCTTGCGAGGCTGTGGGTCGGGGCTGGCTAGGAGGACGGAGCGCGCCCGCCGGCTGAAGCGGGAAAGCGACTCCTCGGGGAGGCGAGGGAAGCCGCCCGCCCCGAAGGACCGCTTCCGGGGCCCCTGGGCGGGATGGCGGCGTGAGGGGCTCCTCGGGGCCCCTGAGAAGGCCGCCCGGCGGACGCGGCGGACGAAGCGAGCGTTGCTTTGGCGGCTCCCTCCAGATGTGTCCTTAAAAGCCGCGGAGTCCCAGGGCGGGATAGGCCGGGCGGAGGTTTGGCGAGCGCCAAGGCTGGCGAAGTTGTAGGGCCGCGACGGGGAAGCCAGCTGGCTCCGACCACCCTCCGACGCTACTTACCAAAGTCGTGCCTCCTTCTGTCGGCCCTACCAGGAGGACGGTGGGGAAAAATGCCTGTTTCAACAACGGAGTAGCTGCTACCCCTGGCAACGCAGGCGGGCCGACCGTTGCGGAGGAAGTCGTTCTCCTAGGTTTTCTCGTAGAGGCAGAAAAAGCTGAAACTGGATATTGACAAAAGTGTAAGTGGCAACCGCAGAAGCTTTACCCGCTGCATGCTTCTCTCTGTGCCTGCAGTTGTGCACCGAACCTCTCTCTCTCCTGTTGTGGTAGCAGTGCTGCTGTAGTAGCTCTGAAATCCTAGAGGAGCTTTTTATGGGATTCTGCTGTGAATTCCCTGTGTCAGCAAAGCAGTATTTTCCTATGCTGAAGCAACGAGACAGGCACAGTATGAATGAATGATGCAGCATTAAAATGAAAGTACGTTGGTTTATGATCCTAGTAAAGAAGCCAGTTGTAGAGATGTGCCTGAAACAGCATCGCCATTAAAATCCTATTGTGTTTTTAGGGAACGGTGTTATTTTTTTTAATGAAATATGAGAATGAAATAATTATCTTACATGTAAACCTAATGTAACAAAGTTAATCTCTCTTTCATTCAGAACTGAAGCGACAAAAATAGCACAAAGCCGCAGCAGGTGGCAGCATCTAGCTGGTTTTGATAAAGCTACCTGGAAATTCTAGGGCTGCGTGATGGTAAAAAGACCTAGTGGGGAAAAGGAAAGGAAAATGAAACACAAGCTTCATATTGTTGAAAGAAAACTGCATGGATTGCAGCTGTTGCTGAACTGTACTTACTTTTCATAGCCAAAGTTTATAAAGTATGTTATATCACGAAAAAATGGGAAAGGCAAGTTTGTAGTAAATAGCTAAAATAAGAAAAACTGTACCCAATTCTGATTTTGGGGCAGAATGTTGATATTATATATTTATTTATTTATTTATTTATTTATTACATTTATACCCCGCCCTTCTCCTAGTGGACTCAGGGCGGCTTACAGCCAGTTTAAAAACGAGACAATCAATACAATATAAAAATTTAAAATGTAATTAAAAAGAAATATTAATATGGGCCTTTTCTTCCTTTTTTAAAAGTTATTTAAAAACCAAATTTAAAATACCCCTTAGGCCAGTCCCGCCAGCTGAAATAGCCATGTCTTGAGGGCGCGGCAGAAGGAGGGGAGATCCGGAATCACCCGGATCTCTGGGGGTAGTTCGTTCCAGAGGGTGGGGGCTCCAACAGAGAAGGCTCTCCCCCTGGGGGTCGCCAACCGACACTGTCTGGTTGACGGCACCCTGAGGAGACCCTCTCTGTGGGAGCGTATCGGCCAGTGAGAGGCAATCTGTGGCAGAAGGCGGTCTCGGAGGTAACCAGGTCCGATGCCATGGCGCGCTTTAAAGATGATGATCAACACCTTGAAGCGCACTCTGAAGGCCACAGGCAGCCAGTGCAGCTCGCGCAGCAGCGGCGTTACATGGGAGCGACGAGTCACTCCCATCACCGCCCGCGTGGCTGCATTCTGGACTAACTGGAGCCTCCGAGTGCTCCTCAAGGGGAGCCCCATGTAGAGAGCATTGCAGTAGTCCAGGCGGGAGGTGACAAGGGCATGAGTAACCGTGCGCAAGGCATCCCGGTCCAGAAAAGGCCGCAACTGGTGAACCAGGCGAACCCGGTAAAACGCCCCCCTGGCCACAGCCGTCAACTGGTCT